TAATCCAACATTTAAATGTACCCTTGTATAAAAATACGAATATTCTCATTATCCCTAAAAGGATAAATGTCTACACTCTAGGGATCTAATTTTCACTTGACTTGAGAGCAGTGCTTAGATTTGGGCCTTTGTAAACAGAGCTGTCAACATCTGGAAGACAACACTTAGAATATCAGGAAATTCAAATACAAGCACAGAGGTGAGTTAAGGGGACCCTTTTCAGCCTCTTGCTTTAACTAAGAAGGTTCACACTGTTTCTATCCCTGTGTTCACTGTGTCGATGTTTGGCTGTGCTTCTTAGAGGAGTTTAGTATTCTGGGCTTGTCTGTCTTCAGAGATCTTGGAAGAACATGACAAATGTGAAGAACATGGGAAGGACAGGCCAGAGGCTCGCTTCTCTCAAAGTCATCTAAACTTAAACGAAGCACAATTATGACATCATATGCATTGTCTTTCCTTCTAGATCTGTGAGACTATAAATGGAAGATATTCAATAATGCAATGCATAAGAAGTTCCAGATACAATGCCCAGGTGAACAGTGAGCAGCTACCCAATGTAAGACCCTGTTTCAAGCAACTTATTGATCTGAAAAGTTACCTGTGAAAAAAGAAAAATCGTTTTATTAAAGTAAAATATCGTTCTTCATTACGCTTATTTAGATAATGCTAGGTGTCCTAAAATTCACACGCGGCTTTGTGAGATAAGTCAGTGGATAAAGGCACTAGCCTGACAACTTGAGTTCAATCCCCAGGATCTGCTCTGGGTGGGAGGAGAGATCTTCCTCTTGCAAGTTGTCCTATGACCTTCACAAATGCACTGTCACACACACACACACACACACACACACACACACCATAAATACATCTTTAATATTAATTTACGGATAGGGGACTCTATCTTACCCACTATGAAGTTTATGGTGATTTTTACTATGCTTCATTCACAATCATTTTTGGTCATGACAGTATATGAATGTCTATGCCTAAGATAAGAACAGTTACACTCCTTCAGAGAAATACTGTGGACCATCAGATGAAAACTGACAGTCTGGCTCACTCTTATCAATCTACTAAATGACTAGGCTCTACCTCTCACAACAGGCTTTAAAACCTGCTTACTTCTGAGTGTGGCCTGAAAACTCTAGTTAACTCTGGAAGGAGGCTCTGCAGACTAGATTTGCAGAACTCTGGGGGAACATAGGCAATATAGGCAGAGAAGCAGGTAGGTAGTGAGTGCTGCTTTAACATGAGACTCTAGCATCATTAGATGACATGCTGAAAGCCCCTGCTGTTCTCATGTTACAGGTCCACAGTGTGGAATCACTTAAGACAACAATTTCAACTCTTCATAAGAATATATTATTTTCTTTGCAGTCTTAACTAACGTTAGCAAAAAATTTATTAAAAATTTTAGTTGGAGATTTTTCTCTACTCATAAATCTGCATTAAGGTATATTTTTTTATTTACAGTCTTAACTAGTATTAGTAAAAATTGTTAAAATTTTAGTAGGGAATTTTTCTATACTCATAATTAACATTTTCCTATATAATAAAAAATTCCCCCAAATAAGTAATTTTAAATGTGACTGTGTTGTTTATTTTTTCTACTTGATATTTTCTTTTTCTTTTGTGTCTTTGAATGTGTGTGGTTTATTTGCACATGTGTGTACTCATATATATGCCAATGTACAGACATGAGAGCCAGAAGAAGATATCAAGTACCCCAGCTCTATCAAGCAAAGGCCACCATGGAGGGCCTCACCCTCTTTGGTGATCAGAGTGGAGATTGGGAGAGGGGTTGGGGGACATGGTGGGGAGGGCAGGGAAGGAGTGGCGGGAGACGGAGCTGGGATTGGCATGTGAAACAAGATTGTTTCTAACCTAAAAAAAAAGAAAAAAGAAAAAAAAGACAGTGTCTCCCACTGAACCTGGAGTTAGAGTTGGTGAACAGCAAGCCCCATGATTCTCCTGTCTCTACCTGGTTCACAACACTGGGGTCAAAAGAGTTAAAACGGTGCATGGCCACACCTAACTACTTACATAGGTGCTTAGGTTCAAATTCAGGTCCTCATATTTTCATAGCAAATACACTTACCCATGAACCCATCTC